GAGAACATGCAAACTCCACCCAGAAAGGCCCCTGGACTGGGATTTGAACCAGGGGCCTGCTTGCTGAGAGGCAGCAGCTCTACCAGTTGTGCCACCATGCTGCCTCTTCTTTAAACATAGAGGGAAATATTCCTGAGACATCCAATGCTTTTGTGCCTTTATGATTTTTCAGCCGAGTTAACTTTAATTAACAGATTATTTAATAAAGTCGTTAAAGTGAAAACAAGATATCATGATAAAGCTGGCACCATTTTTCTTCACTGATTAAAAAAATACATTTTTTTAATACATAAAATGTTTTTTTTTAATCGTTTCCACCCTCCGTCCCAGCCCCTGACTGCCGAGGTGACGTCTTGCTCGGCCTGAGAGGGCTCCGGTGGAGAAGACTAGTGGATCTCCTCTAGCTCGCTCTGAATTTTGTCAACAGCCACCAAGTGCTACAAACGCCTGCACTTCAGCATTAGACCATGGTGTTGTCATTTTTTTTTTTTATCATAAAAATAGGTACAATCTCTCCTCCGTGTTAATGCAAACGGCAGATTGGGTTGTTTAGAAAGGTTCTCAAAGATCTAGTGACTCCGCCCCCTGACCAATCAGTGACCGACAGTGTTCTGACATCATGTTTAGTTGCCAGCTCGGCTCGCTTGGTACCCCAAAGAAGAAGGGACTGAAAAAGGGGCCAGTTCTATGAAAAATTGCTCGTGGAAAAGGCCTTGGAACCGTACCGAGCCGTCAAAACGTGTTGAAGAGGTGCTGTGGAAAAGGGGCTTAAATGTGTTCCTGCCCATAAACGTTATACATAAAAGCAACTTAAAAGTTCTTTTCACAAAACTGTCACTGCACATCGAACTATCAAGGAATAAATAAACAAAAGTTAAATAAATAATGCAATAGAGTCTTTGTTAGTTTGTTAGTTTAAACAATGAAATGCTCACTATAAAAAAATTTGAATAAAAAGTTATAAACACAACACGGAACCAAATACATTTTAACTTGTTTAACTCAAATACGTGAAAGTTGACATATTAAAACTGTCAAGCTCAGTTTACTACAAGAACCAACCAGGAACTGGTAACTTGTAAGTTCTTAAACTCTAGAATACTTAGAAACAAGAAGGTCTAGATTGTTTGGTTTCAGGGGTAAGGATACTCACATGACAGCAACTTTACTGCTATCATCACATTACTTTACATGTTTCCTCTGTACCCTCTGATCCAGACTATGTTGGGCAAAGAGTTGGTTCATTTGGTAGATGTTGTCACGTAACTGTCCTGCTCCAGATTGTGAACTCTGCCTCCTCTGCTCATCCTCGACAGCTGCACTCCTAACCTGGGCCTTTTCTTCAGAGTCAACTTGACACTCCTGCAGAATCAAAAAAGTCCATGCTCAATAATCCTTTTAGGTTTTGAACCAGTTTGACATGACTGTCGGCGAGGAAGAGGGCCAGCAACAGAGGAGGGGGCATGCCAAAGACACCATTTAGCACCAACATAACTGGTTTGTTCCACGTTGGAGTAAGCTGTTTGAAGAATCAGTTTTGTGTTGTGTGTTTCCTTGACTGATGAAGCCCTCCGGATGGAAGGTGAAACGTTTCAGCAAAAAAAGAAACTGTCCAGATGACATGACTGGAAATTGTTGGAGTCCTGCAGAATGTGTCACAAAAAAAGCATCATGCAAACAAGACGGCACTGTGAAGAGAACCCGTCCATCATTAAACGGGGACGTGTCCAACTGTCCCCCTCTTACAATGCTGTTATTGCATCACTCAGCCCTCTGTAAATAGAAAGTGGCCATCAGGGCACTAACAGTCGATTATTGGGCTGATGATCCTCCTTTATCATGTGAACAGCTAGTTCTGGATGTCTCCAGCAAACTGGTTGATCCACGATAAAATGGTGCTTTTTATAAGACTGAGTTTGTTGCAGCACTTCAGACTGACGAAGTCTTTAGGATCGAAGACGAAACGTTTCAACAAAGAAGACTCCATCCAGAGGATGCGACTTAGCCTTGCTAAATTGATCTATTTGTGTTTTCTAACCAGTCTGCAGATCCGGGAACCAGATTTTGTTGTGAGATTAAAAGACCTTCTTTGGATTCCTGTTTTATTGATTTAAAAAGAAACTGGGCCAGATGGAGTCAGTATCTACATGGGCCGCAACCAAGATCCAATAATAAACGGTATCAAGCAGCGATGAACATTTATCAATAGTGTTGTTAATGTAGCTTCTGAATTTTCATATCTGTGCAGAACACATTAAGGCGCAGTAATCTATACAGAAAATGGAATTTTTACAATTCTACACAACAAAGTTTTATTTTTTTGACTCCTGCAACAGATCATAAAACAGTTCTGTGTTTAATGTCTAAAACTGATTGTTTACTTAATGAACGACTGTGTAAGAAATGCGGAGAAAGCTGATTAAACAAATGAATGGCACAAAGAAATTAAACCATCTGCTAATAGTGTGAAACTAGCATGGCCAGTAAGATAAAAAACAAGTAAGATGAGGAAAGTTACAAACCTCACAGAGCCATGTGGCCCTAAAAGTTACATGAGTGGAGAGCCATAAAGATTTACCAACCAAAAATATCTGACTGGGATAAAGACCAAAGTGATCTTCAAGGTTATACAGGTGAGCTTACCGTACTCCTGCCTCTGTGACTGGAGGGGTCAGTTGCAGAAAACCAAGTGAGCATCTCCTCCATGTCTCTCAAAAGCAGCTCGGCCTCTGACAAACCTGAGAAAACCACCACACAAAACACTCATTGCAGTAACCACATTCTCATTTTGTATTTTTTCAATAATTCTACATCGTAAAAGAGAGAATGCAAACTGCTTTGCTGTAAAGCACAAACTAACAACATTTCACATTTTTTTATTGTGTTAAGTTCGTTATAAAATAATGTGTTTTTAAAAAGTCAAGCTGTAACACACTTCTACCATCAGTCCCATCACATGTAGTAAAATGTGTGAAGTCAAAAGTTTATAGAGAGCAAACCAAAAATATTTAGTCAAGAAAAGTGAGGAAACGGTGTGGAAGTGTTGGACTTACACTCTTGTGTTTTGGTGATGAAGACCTCAGGTTCCTCCTCACCTGGCATGTCACTCATTTTTACAACTTCTTTCAGAGAAAAATATTTAAATTAGCTATTATAAAATCAGTTGTTTTAGCAGGACAAGAATTTTAAGCATTAATAATAACAAATCCCTAACACACACAACTTTGAGGTTATTATTTACAAATGAACTATTTTATTTGACTATAACAAATATTTACAAATTAGCATTTGTTCGATTTGGGCATTAAACTAAATAAACACAAAACAAGAAAATAAATCACAAATTCATTGTATTAAAATTATTATTTCTTGTTTTGTGGTTTTATATTTTCATTTCATAAATTAAAAGAAATGCTTTTTTAAATTTGATGTCAGACACAATTTTAACATTGTTTTAGCTCATTAGCTAACGACAATAGCTAGTTAGCTAATTATCTAACAAGAATAGCTAATTAGCTAACGCGAATAGCTTTTTTTTTTTTTTTTTTTTTTTTTTTTTTTTTTTAACTTTATTTGAAACATCAGTTTACAAACAAAACAAGGCAACAACATCAGCACAAAACTCAGTTTTCACAGGTTGAATTGCATGCACTCAAAGCAAAAAAAAAAAAACCAAAACAAACAAACAACAAAACAAAATAAACAAAGAATGAACATGAAACAAACACCGAGGTTTAAGCCAAATCAAAGTTGTTAATCAAACTACAAAGTTGTTGGGCAGATTTACTTTTAACTAAATTTAAAGACTCACAAAAACAAAATAGGAAATTTTTCCAATGACTTAAATTTGGGTTAACTTTAAAAAATCTGCATTTATGAACAAAAAACTTTCCCAATAAAACTAAATTATTGATTAAAAATTCTGTTTTGGAGTTTTGAAAATATATACCAAATTTGATTATTGTTAGACTCAAAGCTGGCAGTTCAACTCCTTGGTCCTGGAGCCAACCCCACATTCTGCTCCAAAAGTCTTGTGTGACACAACACTGGAAGAAAAGATGATCCAGAACTTCATCTTCATCGTGGCAGAATGAGCACCCAGCAGTGTCAAATTTAAATCTAATCTTTAAAAATGCGTTAGTTGGGTAGATACTGTTTAGAATTTTAAAATGGACTTCCTTTACTTTTGGAGGAAGGGGAAAAGAAATATATTTTGTTCTAATTTTAGAGATTACATCTAATCTATAATCTTTAAGAATATACTGCCGTTTAACCTGACCAGGGTACAATTCCTTTTGTAAAATTCTCCGAGTCAACTTATTTGTCAATTTCTTATCTTTAAATTCTATATCTTCTATATACAGTTGACTCAGAACAGGGGAAGTTTTGGAATGACACACATCTTCTTTAACCATTGATTTCAGAGCTGCTGAGCTAACGCGAATAGCTAGTTAGCTAACGCGAATAGCTAGTTAGCTAACGCGAATAGCTAGTTAGCTAACGCGAATAGCTAATTAGTTAAGGAGAATAGCTAGTTAGCTAACGAGAACAGCTAGGTAGCTAACTCAAATAGATAGTTAGCTAATATATTTTTACAGCTCTTCCATAAATAAAATGTGACATATTTTGTTTTGCGTTGTTATTTAAAAAAAAACACTGTTTTGTTATAAATAAATCATAAAAATAGTACACTTAGGATTGGACACAGAACTTTATGAAGCTACCAGTCTTTCACTGAGATGTCCTATCAAGATGTAGTTTTCTTTATCTACAGCACATTTGAACTCACAGTGGTTTCAACGCAGGCTTTTCTTTCTCTCTAATGACTTGTTCAAATTCATGCGTTTCGACGTAAACAATATGTTCAGCTATTTCTTTACCATGTGAAATCTATGTTCCGTGTTGCCACACGGAGCCGCCAGCCAGCCGCTTTCGCTTTGTGCTTTTACTTTGAAAGGACGCGAGTCAAGCGACTCCCGGAAGTTTTTGTTTTTTCACCTGTCAGCGTGAAGCAGGCACCGTGCGAAAGTCCATCCTTGTCTGTTTCTGTCTTTCTCTAAGAAACGGGTTTTATTTCCTTTGAGCATGAACGGTAATCCTACGTGGGCAGCTGATATCTAACTGAGGACAGCGTCTAACACGGCTGGTAGGAGACGGAAGTGAAACAACTGACTCAATTTCCATTCACCTAGCCAACCTTAGCTAGCTGTGTGATCACCATAACAGATCGGTCTTTTTGATCACGTTTATTAGTGATGTACATCACTAGTTCATATATGTCATTTTATAGCGATTGTAGTATTTTTTGCGTTATTTGGCCAGGATTATATTTCGAAACTGTCTAAAATAGATTTAGTTGTTAGTCGGTGTTTACTGAAGCTAACATTAAACGTTAGCATGGTACACAGGCGGCTCTCGTTGACAGTTCACGTCTCGGTTAGGGATGCTTGTTGTCTATCATTGGGGACTGAAAGTTCGTCTTTTTTTGTAAGTTTCGTTAAAGAAAGAGTGACAAAATGACGCTCTTCTTGTCGTGTTTTAGTCACGGTAACTTTCGCTTTCACAAGTTGTCGGGGTTGCTTTCGATTCGTTAACTTTAGCTGTGATTTGAAAAAATGGTTCTTTAGTTTTAAATTGGTTCTGATTATGCTCAGTTCCTCAAAGCAATGAGACAACATTGGAGTCCATATGAGATCACTGTTTTTCATCTCTACCTGTGATTAACCTAAGTTTATTCCTAAACATATATGAATAGATTTTCTATGAGTACCTTAGTCCAAAGGAAAAGTATTTCACTGCATGATGTTAAGAACTGGTATTCCCTGTGTGTAAAACTATAATTATGTTTCTTTGTATTTAAAGGCCTTGCATTGCTTCAAGGAAGCACATCAGCTGATGGTTTTCATGCCAGAGTTTAAAAATAAACTTCTTTTATGATAAGAGATGACAGAGATGTATTCAGTTTTGTCAACCCTTGAAAATAACGTTATTCATGATCTCATGCTATTTGTTGTGAAAGAATCTCAGCTACTATCATGTAAAGTTCAATATCTGTAAAGTTTGATGAGCTGTAGCCAATGTTAGTGTTTTCACAGGCGAGATACGGCATACAGAATATACCCACTAGAAACGCTTCAGAATTTCAGTATACCCATTTAAAAGTGCCCAATGATACATATCATTAGTCACGTGTCATTGATACGTTAAACGCTTCCATAACAATCTGTGTGTATGCAGTGCTTGTTTATTACATTTGCTTATCCAGTATATTATTGTATAATCCTGTACTTACTTAATACTTGAACATGTTTAGTTTCGATACTTGTTTATAAATTCCATAACGTGTTTTTAATACAAAGCCAACAGTTGTACAAAGTGTGTTGTATATTTATTCAAATATAAGCATCAGAGAAATTTGGAAATGTTCAATATGCTTAAACATCAAACTAAATTGACGATTACATTGTACTAACCAGTGTACTTTGGTTTCTAAGCACAGTATACCCACTACAAAAATGTAGACCACACCTACGGTTGGAATCATTTCACTCTAAAGATTACTGATTTGTAGATGTACATTTATTGATTACTTTCTCTGAACTTCATGATAATCTGTCCAGTGGTTCATGAAATATTATACTAAAGGACAAACAGGTTGACACCAATAATGCTAACATTTTAAGCTAAGACGTACAGTATGTAGCACTCTTGAGTATGAGTTGAGGAAGATGCTCAGCAACCACTCCAAATTTAAGCTTAATACTTGTAAAATTGACTGAATTATAAGTTTGTGTTGGCTAAGGGTAATTACTGGTACATGAATCATATAATCATTCTGAATTGGTTTGACTCCCAAGTTTCCTTCTTTCAGCTGCTTCCTTCAGGCGTTGCCACAGTGAGCAAACTCGCATGAAAGATTTGAAAAATGTTTTACGCTGGATGTACTTCCTGATGCAACCTGAGCTCGAACCTGCAAACTCAGGATTACGAGACTTCAGCACTGACCACTGAACTATTGTTGCCTATTGATATAATCAATAGAACCGGATGAAAAGTCTCAATACTGGAAGAAAGTCAACTCTAGAGTAGTGGTTCTCAACAGTGGGGTAAGGGACCCACTATGAGTTACAAAAACACAAGTGGGGTCCTCAAATAATCTCCAGAAACCCAATTAAAAGTAAATTTATTCCTAAAAGCACAGTTTCACCCTAATTGTTAACAGCTAATATTAAATGCAGTACTCATGAATCAGTAAAATGAGAAATTGCATCATGCATGTTAAGACTTTTAACAAGACATACACTTAAACTTAAAATATTTAGGACCACAAGCCTCTGCCATTGTTATTAGAGAGTCAGAAGCTGAAAAGTTTGGGAACTGATAAACTAGGAGACAGAAATATTTGTCTGAGGAGGGTAAATTGGAAATACTTTGACCTCATCAGCTTTGGTTTTGATTACTTTTAAAGAGCTCGTCAAAAGAATACAGAATATGACACTTGACGAGGTGTCAACCTGCAATGACTCCAAAAGTTAACGGGTTGTAAATCGTTATTTAATAATTACTTTCTGAAAGTTTCAATAAACTCCATTTAATAGTTCATAGCATATTTTGCTAACACAGTTGACATATGTCTGAAATAATTGTTTGAAAAAAGGGGCAGATAAAATAAGATTTTTTTCTTCTTTCTTCTGCCTTTCATTTTAAATTTTTTTGTATCTTTTTATATATTGTTATGGAATTGTTTTGTACTTTTTTAAAATGAATAAACTTCATACCATACTCCCAGTAATTAAAGGCAACGTTTTAGAAACAGATCTCATGTGATCATTTAGCTGACTGGGTACTTACTGGGGTCGACTCTCAGCTAGAAACAGCAATTTTTAGCTCAATATTTGTAAAAGTGGCTGAGTTGTAACCAGGCGTATATTGGTGGCCATGTTGAATGAGGTTAACTCTAAAAGTTAGTCAGTTGTAGATGTATAATTTTCTGAAAGTTGTTTAAACATCCGTCTACTGGTTCTTGAGATATTTTGCTAACGCTACAAACACGCTGACACCGACATGACGTTCTTTGCTGCAAAGGTAAACCGAAAGTCTTCATGTAATCCGTCTTCTCTGCTGCAGATTGGACCTGTGCAGACATGGAGCCCCTGGCAGTGGACGATGACATCTGCATCCTCAAACACGAGACGGCCTACACAGCCGCCGGTGAGAGCCCCGTGTCAGTGTGCGCCGGGGATGAGTCTGTCGCCTCCCACTTCGCCTTGGTCACAGCGTATGAGGACATAAAGAAGAGGCTAAGAGACACTGAGAGAGAAAACACTTTGCTGAGGAAAAGGGTTAAGCAACTGGAAGACAAGGTATGGGTGACGTGAACAGCATGGTCTGTAGACTGTCGGGGAAGAAGCAAAATGCTACAAGCTGGTGCTGTACACACATATCACTGTGTCCATACTTAACTCAGTTTTTATCTGTTGCAGCCATTTAGTGGTGAGAGGAATGTAATCATTACACTAATAGCATTCCATTGAACTCACATTAATCTTTTTTCTTTGTATTTTCACTGTAGCTTTTCAGGCCAGAGGCTCCTCCATCAGAGGGTCCCCATTATGTAAACAAGGCCTTCAGTGCTTACCGGGGAATCTATATAGAGAAGGAGGACCTGCAGTTGGAGCTGAATAAACTGGTGCTTTTTCATTACATTACATCCAGTCAAAATGATCACACATACTGGAACGTATTATATTTGCAGACAGTACGACGCATTTGCACAAAACTTACTGCTCGAAAGAAAAGAGATGGTTTAGAGCAGTGATATGGATGCTGACTTTTTATCCTTACTCTTCTCCGTTTGTGTCAGAAAAAAGAGAAGAGTGAGAGCGAGAGGTTGCTGACGGAGCAGCTGCAAACCAAAGAGCTGGAGCTGCTTCAGCTGAGGACGGAGCTGGAGACCTCCCAAGGTACAGGCGCAGCGCACAGGTCTAATCTCTACTCTGACAGCTGAGGAGAGTTGAAAACACAGAATTCAAATGTTTCGTGGAACGATGCATCGCATACTAGATGCTACTGCATATACCTTAGTGCGCTTTTAGAAAAGAGGTGCGTAAGCACAACTAAAAGGACAAAGTCATCTGTCATGAAGTAGCATCATTTAGAGCTAAACTCTCCCTTTGATGCAAATCAGTGCTGTGCATGTCAAAGTTCAAAGGTAACAGTATGATGATGCTAACAGAAACAAATGAGCGGCAGAACTGTACACGCTGTCCTTAGTACTAAAAAAATAGTTCATTTTTGTTTGAAGGAGGGTTTTGTGGAGTTGTTATTAGTAATCAGTATCTAACCTGGTGTAGAAATTGCTCAGAGCAGTTTTGAATACAAAAGGTTTATTTTTTATAGAGAAGACAAGCTAACGACTTATCAAAACAAGGCCTGCAGCAGAATGGATTGATCTTCTTAAAATGACTCAAAAATGTCATAGCAGTTCATGCACAGGCTATTTTATGAGATTTTATATGGTCAATTTTTCTTTAAATAAATATTTACATAAAAATAGAGTGTTTACATTAAATAGTTCATTAACATTAATGATTCTTGTCCATGTTGTTGCAAAACAACACTTGTTTAATGTGAACTGGCAGAAAAACCACCTGCTGCAAAATAAATTAAAATTATTAAAACTTTAGGTGTTCTTTTGAATTTTACATGATCTTTTTCCATCAGATAGTTTCTCTACCCAGAGACACTTATGGCATCTCGTGTTTCACACAGACCGTCAATCGTAGCAGTGCGGTCCGTGTAAATAACACCTAATGTCAAAGTGTCAGCAGAGTAAAAATGTTTATGAAACGGTGTTTGTATGAAAGTTTGGAGGTTTGATTGGTTTGAAGACGGCTGAGATGTGATTTGGGGTTGACCTTGCTCAAACAACTCGTTTCACTGATTCCAAACTAATAACACTGAGTGATTTCTACTGCAGGTAAGATACTAACTACTGATAACTCTGCACAACACCACTTCAAAATATCTGAACTACAAGTAAAGTAATTTGCTCATGCAGCTTTTTTTAGGGTCTGAAATTTTATAAAAGTTTATTTAATTCAGACTACAGTGATTGAGTGATTTACTCTGTAGAAAAACTTTTATAGTTGTACTTTATATGTATTTGTTTATATTCCTAGTCATGAAGAGCCTGAACAACCCTCTGGACTCGTGGCAGGTGGAGAGGGTCGACAGCGAGCTCCAGATCCGCAAACTGCAGGAGGAGATCGAGAGGGTGACGCTGGAGAACGACCGACTACTGGAGACGAGCAAAGTGAGTGAGGAGAGATAAGAACACAATAACTCACAAAACAGAATGGACAAAATTGAAGCAGGAGGGTTGTAGAGCAAATTATGAGCAGAGAGAAATGGTTGTGGATGATGAAAGCAGAGTGGACAGAATTTAACAGCTAAATGCTAAAAAAAAAAAAAAGAAACCAAAGAAAAGATCTAGATTTGATTTGAAGAAGCCAAGCTAGCTCATGACAAACAACCAAATGCAAAAAATTCAGTCCAGTCTCCATTTTGTGTAACTGGACTCTGTTTTAGGAGGAATCCCACGGCCTTAACGGACCAAACGTGGACCAGACGTCTGACGCAAAGATTAGTGCAAGGTATAGTGTTTTTAAATATTATTGAAGAATGGCTGCCACATCGACTTCTAACCGTTAATTTACATTGTTTATGTTTGTTTGGGGACGTGATGACGTAGTGATATGTACTTTCAAATGTTGGACCCGTGTTGCCAAATCACCTGGTGAGAGTCGTGCTGCTGCGTGACAACCTGCTGCTGGACGAGACGCTCCTCAGCTTTGATCTGTAATTCTGCCTGCAGAGCTGCCTGTTTTATGCTTTTTTTACTTTTCCCACATTGCACTTGTTAGGTTAAATATTTAAGCTCATCAAGAGTTGTGTGAATTACTCCTCAAAAGTGCGGCTCCGGCGTGTCTGAGATATGTTCATGTCAAAATAACTTCCTCTGTGGTTTTACAGGAACACCAGTGACCCGCTCTGCTTTTTGCTCAGCAGACTGTGTAACGTGGCTTAGTGTTTTTGTTTTATGTAGAGCAGGGAACTGAAATCTAATTACATAATAGTTTTTAATGTCAGGTGTGGACAGTTGCACCCATCCTCTTGTGATCAAATCAGCTGGGGATGCATTTGAACTGGGCTTCCTTCATATTCATTTTACCCAGCGTGGAAAGGTGTACGGTTACACTCATCAGAGGTAGAACACATAAAACACGTTCATCTTCTTGTTCCGTCCTTTCAGACTTTAATTTAACAACACATTATACTCCTGTTGACAAACTATTATCAGAATCAGAATAAACTTTATTATCATTGCACCGAGATACGAGAACATGTACGTACAGCCGTCCGAAAGAAGGACGGAGTGCTCGAAGCTGCTACTATAAAAAGCGCGGCCTTTTCTTGTTTTTGTTCAGAATAATATTTTGCTTACATGAGAAAAGGCCGTTTGAGTCAGGCAGAACTCTTGAATTGTTGTTTTCTGCCTTTTAAAGTCACGCTGGTATATATTTCTCTGATGGAAACTCCAAAACAGCCGAATTGATCCTTTACGCCAAAAGTCGAGCTCACAGCTTCTCCAAGATTATTCCCACCTTCATGTGTGCTGCTAGAGAGTTCACAGTCCTGATACCAGCTGCACCAGCTCTCTGACACAACTGCACAAATTCAGTCTGAGCGCTGCCGAGCTTCAACACATTCACACAAATTTGTAGACAATCCAGATTTCACCAGCCAAACAGCAAAAACCAGTTGTCACCATGAATCCAGTTTGTTTCTGTCGAGGGTCCTCCTTACCCTGACTCCTGTCGGGAGAAGTTGATCAATTTTGTTGCGAGACCAGCTGATCCTTCGAATTAGGAAGGTATGCAGAAAAAAAGAGGCTTTATTAAGGGTTCACAGGACAAAAGAGTGCAAGCAGGGAAGCGGGTGTGTGGGGGGAGCCCAGGGAGACACGTCTGGCTTCACCGGAGGACAGAGAGAAAAAACAGCAAGTTATAGCAAGCGAAGACCTTGTATGACTTTTGACCTTGATTTGTGACCTTTATTTAGAGCTGGGTGTTGAAGAGATTATGCGAGATGTTTTCTAGTGGTGGTACAAATGTGAATCAAGTATTTTTAAATTATCTTGAGCAGATCAGAAATTATGGGCGGGACAAGAGAAAGTTTTATGGACAGACAGACAGACTGTACCACAATGCGTCCACCTTTGGACAGAGCGTATGAAAAGTTTGAGAAGCAAAGAACGTACGAGTGGCTTCAGGTTAGTTTTATATTTGATTGACGTCGCCATCACAGTTCGTATTTTTCTCAGTTATTCACTGTCTGCTGAAGGTCAGAGTGCAGTTAGATTTTTGACCATGTCTGTGTGAGTTTGTGTTTAAATAAAACTTTTTAGAAAGTTGATTTGTACACTGAATCATTTTTAGAGTCAGGCCAATTTAAGATGGCTGCCACAGCAAAACTAAACACATATAAGGCTGCAAGTCAATGTTGCATGTATTGAGCTCAGATCTGGTGGTAGTAGCTGAGACTGGCCCCCAACTTATACTCCAAGCACTACGCTCTGTGTTTAATATTTTACCATTAACTATTACAGTCAACGCTGCCTGTTTGTTAGCAAAATATCCCATGAACCCCTTAGTGAATTGTTATGACGACCCTTTCAGAAAATAAGTGTTGGACGTATTGTCTGTAACTGATTACATGTTGGAGTCAGCTCCATTCAAGATGGCCACCGCACGCCATAAAACTCAAAAATGGCGACAACCCCAATAGTTTCACACATAATCAGTTAAGAGTTGGAGGCCGCAAAGACGTTGGAGTCATCGCTGCTTCTCTGTTAGTAAAATATCCACTTAAACCACGTAGTGGATTTCAATCAAACTCTCATAAATAATTATTGGCTGTACATCTACAACTAATTACATTTTAGATTCAACCCAACTGAAGGTGATGACAACACCTAGTTGATCTTAGCCTCCACAATAATGGCAGTACCTCATTAAATTTTCCAGATATTGAGCTGAACTCTGGTGTGGTAGTAGCTGACGGTCATTGACAACACATATTTTAAGCTCTAACTCGTCAAGCCGTCACATTCTGAAAGGTGGAAACGCTTCAGTTTGCTTTCTCCTACACAGCAGATTGTACTTCTCCGTTTCGGCCACTAGAGGGGGGTGCAGACCCTCAAATGTTCTGTTTAAGACCTGAGCAGGGTCGATCTAGAAAAATAAATCTTTAAATTTGTCTTATGGACTTCCTTTCACATGCTTGACCTCCTGTAAATTAACTTTTAATATATAATCAGCAGAATTTGCTGCTGATTATGTTATTATCAGTAGTAATAATACAATAAAATAGAACAGAATTATCTGCTTACTTTTTGTGTATATGAATGTTTCTGTTCAGTGCCCTGAGATGACTTCATTGTGACTTGGTGCTGTATAAATAAACTGAACTGAAGTGAATTTGTCACACAGTGCTAAACAGCAGGAAAAGTCTTGATGCTTTTTCTTTCTAAGTTTGTGTTTGAAGCAGGCGATAAAAGTCAGTGTTCATAAGGTTTCACATCTTTATATAAGGTGGTGATTGGACAGTTTACACGTTTGGTTTTTAAGTAGCACCTTAATGTTGGTTATTTCTGGGGTTTTTTTTTTGTTTTTTTATATGTGTAACACGTCTGGATGGGTTTTTATTCTGCGATTACCATAACAGCAGCTCAGTGGTTGGTGGTGTTAAATGTGTCAGCAAAGAGAAGCAGGTGATTTAGCAACAATAAATGAATAAAATGAAACTACAGTAAATACAGAAATAACACTTCAGCAGCAGCTCTGTCCAACAATACACAAGCACTTATTCGGTCCAGTTTATGTACTGTTAGCATGTGTTTCTGAATTTAAAAACTGTCTCGTCCTCAAATTATCCTTTTTTTTTGGTCTGGATACATAAGAAGCCGTTTGACATGGATGTTTCAGAACCGTGCACTGAATGAAATTCACAGAACGTCCCATTTACAGCTGAGACTGTTGAGACTTTTAAATCTTGGCTCAAGACTCATCTTTATTCCTTGGTCTGAGAACAAGTTAGAGCTGATTTGTATTGTTGTTGTTGTATTTTATTGTTAACTTTATGTTTTTTGAGTGGCACACGATGTATTTTTTACTCTTTTTAATCTGTGCTAACTGTAAAGCACTTTGGCCCGCTGTTGTTGTTTTTATAAATAAACTGACACTGACATGTGCAGGGAGAAGAGCATCCAGCAGACGTACAAGGCGATGGGCTGTGAGGTCGCTCGTCTCCAGCTGGAGCTGAAGCACCAGACGGGCCTGATTAGGAAACTCCGACCACTGATCGGTGAGATGAGACAAGGTGAGGAGCCACACACACACACACATGCACACACACACACACACACACACACACACACACACACACGTGGGTGAGCTCAGGTTTGTCCTCGTTTCATCTAAAACCATCTCATGCTTCATTTTTGTTTCCGTTCAGTTCAGTTCATCCATGCAGTCACTGCTAAAGACTCTTATTCATACAAGGGAGCACAGAGAATAAAATAAATGTTGACTAGGCTCCAAAAATACTTTACTATTATCGTTTTAATGCCTAAATATTTGTCCTAAACTTTCATCATATTTATTTTATAGCTAATAAAATGTTAAAGTAAATAACCAAACATTAATACTTTTAAATTTAACTTTCAGGTTAGCTCCACATTTATACTTTTTATATATATATATATATATATATATATATATATATATATTAATTACATTGTTAAAATTAATAATTGTTTTTCTGCGTCAGCTTTTTGACTCAAAAAGTTTTACAAGCACAAACGTCTTGTCTGAGTAAAAGCTTCCAACTCATCCTAAGGACGACATCAAATAATCAAAAAGTTATTAATACGTTCTACCGTTCTGTAAAGATTGTTAGTGATTTTTTTTTCATAACAAGTGAAATAAAAACTGCTTCTGTTTAGAAAAATAACGTTTCTCACTTTAAAGATTTGATGCTTTTTGTTGCCGTTGGGATTCGAACCATCAACCACTCAATTAAAGGACCTTATAAAAACATGACCCTCCTCCCGCTGTGATTACTTCTGCCATCAAGAGTCAGGAGACCTCGAGGTGAAAATGGGAACAAAATCAACCTCTGACTATTTATTCTGCTGACTCTGAGTAATCCAGCGGCTCGGATGAAGCAGGTGGAGTGAAATGGGGAAAACGATGGAACGAGACGAGGGCTGGAGAGGAGCGGGGAGTGTGTGTTTTTTTTTATTTATTCACTCATTCATCTGTATTCTTCTAACGCTCGTCTTTTGGAATCACTTTTATTCAAATCCCAGACTCAGGAGACCTTCTCATGGAGGCATAGCGGGGAGGGAGGGATGGATGGATGATGTGTGGATGGCGAGAGGTATGATGAATTTTTCGGGAGCAGAAACTCTCATTTAAACTTCAATATTCTCACCCGTGGTGGTAATTTGATAGCGATGAAATGACATCTGATTTGTGTATAGATGTAAAAAGAGCGTCTTTGTTTATGCAGAGAGGTTAGTACGATGAAGCTGCTTTGTGTTTGCCTCACAGCTTTGTTCTCTCGTGTTTGACACGTGTCAGTAGGAAATTAAAAGCTCTTTAAAGTTACTATAAGAACAGATCTGCCGTCACGGCCTCAAATCAAAACCTGTTTCTTTATCACACTGTTTGTCCTCGCCGCAGTTTAATTAAACAGTTTTCATGACCATGCTTCATCACATTCAGAAAATAAATCATTATTATTTTATCATTATTATTATTATTATTATTATTATTATTATTATTAAATCATCATCAGTACGTCTCATCTGTCATGTTTTGTGTTTTCATGTATAGTCGTGGTTTTGCAGAAACCAGAATCCTCTGTCCTCCCCCCTTGATCGTCTCCACCTCTTCTTCCTCCAGCGTCTTCAACTGTCCCCATCCAGTGTTTGGACGACATCGAAACAACCAACAACAACCTCCCAGTTGCTCGCCCCCCCAGCGCCCCTCCGGTCCCCTCGTGCTCTGGCCGTCCCGGCCCCTCCGTCGTCTGCGGCCTGTCGGGCCCCCCTCTGCCTGACAGTCTGAAGGAGGACTGCTGGTACAACGGGCCCTGGCCGTCTCAGAGCTGTCTGATGGAGGCGCTGGTCGGCAGCGAAGCCTGCTCAGTCGTGCTGCCCCCCCCTCCCATCAACCAGGCTTCTCTGGATGAGAGCTCGCGCTCCTTCCCCAGCCCTCCCAAACCCAGCGACTCCATGTTCTGGGAGGGACACTCCGGTGCGTCCAATTCCTCGACCTCGATGGGAAACTTCACTCCCATGAGCCCCCCCAACACAGAGTGGACCAAACCCTATTAAAGCCCAGGAGAGATATGTGAATAAATAATTTGGTGGATTTTTAACAAGCGAGTGACGGAATGGATGAAGACTCTGCCACATATTTACCACCTGACCTGCCTTAAGTTGATTAAACCACTCAGTGGTTCACTAGACTGAACTAATCGAGGCCAGAGGAGTCCTTTCAGAGGCATCAGCTGTCTGCACGCCACGTCCGTGAACACGTCTGACTCTGCAGAGGAAAAGGCTGATTAAAGAGAATAAATCACATTGTGTGTGTGTGTGTGTGTGTCCTTGCATGCACGCGTTAATGTGTGCAAGCAAGTTACCAGTTTAAATTATGTGTGTGCTTGTGCAAATGTGTGCACAGTGAACAGCGTGCCTGCGTCCGCAGATGGGCCTGCGTCATCGTAACGGAGCTAACAGGGCTCAGAGGGCCTCTTCGTGTATGGAGGCCACGCTTCATGGAGCCGCCACAGAACACTTCCAGGAAAGTTGGGACGCTGTGGAGCATGTAAATAAAAACAGATTGCAGTTTTTATAAACCTTTTTTTTTTAATTCACAATAGAACCAAGTAAACGTCACTAAAAGTAATTGTACCATTGTAGGTTTGAATTTGATGGTGCCACACATCTAAAAAATACTGGGACAGAGCCATGATTACGACTGAAGCGTCTCTTGTTTTAACAACAGCCTGTAGACGTCTAGGACCTGAGGAGACAGGGTTTGGGAGGGATTGTTGTCCCAATCTGGTCTGATGGAGGATTCCAGCTGTCCATCAGACCTGGTTTAGGTTCTCTTGGATAGATTTTTAGTTTCATGATGTTCAATATGTTTTCAGTTGGTCAGAGGTCTGGACTGCATGCAGTTCAGCACCCAGACCACCGTGCTGTTCTGATGGATGCAGGGTTATCTTGCTGAAATACACAAGGCCTTCCCTGAAAAAGACGTCTGGTCGGTATGTTCCTAAACCTGTACATGCTTTTCTGCATTAATGGTGCCTTTCCAGATGTAATGCACCCACATACCATCAGAGAAGCAGGCCTTTGAGCTGTGCACGAATAACAAGCCGAATGGTCCCACTCCTCTTTATAATGAGGGATATGAAGAAAGTTGTTTACCAAAACAAATTCAGACGTTTCTGATCACACAAGTTTTTCTCTTTGCCTCGGCCCATTTGAAATGAGCTCAGGTTCTTTGAAGGCACTTCTGGATGGTGTTCACGTATGGCTCCTCTGCATGATAGAGCTTTAAATTCAAGATGGAATGGTGAACTGCGTTTACAATAATGTGTGACGTGTTCCTGAGCCCGTGCAGTGATGCCCAGAACAGAACCGGACCGGTTTTTAACGTCCCACAAAACAATGGGTTCACGAGATCTGGAAATGTTCGCATTCTGTTTGTTAGTTGCAGTTTACACAACCTCCCAGCCTTGTTGGAGTTGTAGTAGATTAATACCCGACCTTCCTCAATGCACCTCTTCACATCTGGATCAGTGTTTGTAGCTCCATGTTTGTCTCATGATCACGTGCAGGAGGCGTGTTGACGCGTTGTGGTGGTAGAACGACATAAAGGAGCTTTAGACTAATCATAGACGTTTGCTCAAAATCTTAACAGCTGCCAAAATAAACCTTTATTTTCTCCTCAAATCCTTTTTGTTGAAGGCCTTATCGAAGTGTCACTCCTATTCAACACATCACTCTGGGACAGTGAGGATGATCTAAAGCAGGGCTATTCAACTGGCGGCCCGGGGGCCAAATCAGGCCCAAAGGTGAGCTCAGTTCGGCCCACCAATGGGTTAATTTTTGAATAAAACTAGATTTGAAACAATAAAACAAACTTACTTAATGACAATAACTGCTGGATGTCCAGCTCCTGAGCAGTTTAGTTGAATAATCCTGATCTAAAACCACGTTCCTCTCAGAACAGTCAGTTTTCACACACCTGTTGTCAAATAGGAGGTTTCCTTTGTTCAGCCGTACTGTAACTACAGCTGGCCCATGTTTTAGATTAAAGACTCAATCACACCTATACACTTCAGTGTGCTTGTCAAACTTAATGACTGCTAAAATGAGATTTGTGAATATTTAGAAAATAGGTGTGTGTAATCCCTGCTTTGTGCCAGAGTTGATTTTCCAGAACAAGAAGAGGGGTTGGCTGTAAGTCCGATGAGTCTAAAACCATGTACAGATGCTTGTGAAGCTCCAACATGAAGCCAACGAGCATATCTGTATAAATGTAAATGGTGGGTTTCAGTACTTTGCCAAATGTGATTTTGCACTCTGTTTTATTTATGTTTTGTTGTTGTTTTCCTCCCCGATACCAAAATCTTTTTATACGAGAGTAAGAGTGTCTGCAGTGGTGGCAAAACTAACAAATGTGAGCTGTGACTCGACAAAATACGTGCACGAAGGCTTCGGTGTGTTGAAAAGATTGCTTTCATTTGCATTTTCTTCAATCTGTTCCATAGTTTGAGCCTTTTTGTTCTTAGTTTGAAAGAAATGTTATTTTGCAGCTGTACTTTCTTACTTATGTAAAGGATTTGCAAACCAAAATGCAATGTACAGTAGATATGGATTATATTTTAGACCTCCTGTCCTTCAGACTGTAAATCTGATTCAATAAATAAATGATTGAATGTAGCAGCTGTTTCTTCCTCTGGTGTCTGCTGCTGTCATCAGCACGAAGCTGTGATACAAATAACTACACAAATGGTATTTTATGGATGCTAAGGGCTGAAGATGCTAAAACTGGCATGTTAAATCAAAAAGGAGTATATAGCATTAGTTAAAAGTAGCTAAATGCTTGATTAAGGTTAAAAGTTCCAAAATGCTAGCTAAATGTCAGAAAAGGCTGGATAAAAGTAATGAAATGCTAACTAGAAGAAATGCTAGCTAATAGCGGCAAAAGGCTTAAAATATCAAAAGGTTTGCTAGAAGCTAAAAATAAATATATATATATAT